ATCTTCCAGTATGGAGTGTAGGTCTACTTCCAGCTCATTTGCCTCAGTCACTTTATCTCGTTTCAGGACGTGTGCTGATACGGTCATCTGCTTCTGTTTTTTGGGCATATTCAGGAGTTATCTGTGGCCTTAGTTGCCTCCAGGTAGATGTGATCAGGAGATGGGTTTCCCTTCTTCTTGAGAAATTTCAAGATGCCACTGTTGGTCGTTGTGATGTAACTCAGGATTTAATTTTAAGCCTATTTCCTTTTTAGTCTGCCTGTCCCACTCCACAATTCCCATCCAGGCCTTTTTCTTACTTATAAACAGTTCTGGGCTAGTTGTGGATATTTTGCACTGCTGTTTGGTTTTAAGTGGAAAGTGTCACTTTAAATTTTGAGGAGATCTGTGCGCATGTATAGTAGAACCCTCCAGGGGTTTGGGTGGGGTGTCCATTCGCTCAGGCACTCCCTCTAGAATGGAGGTGCAAAGACAGTGACAGACCAATGAGCAGTACAAAAAAGAAAAAGAAAAAGAATGTCCACACCTTTATCTCTGTGGTTCTGTCAGGCATCTGTGTCTACTCTGATCCTTTTTCTGCTTGGCAGCTCCAGGAAAAACTGAGCATCTTGAATTAGAAAGCAATGGATTTCTTGCTTCTGTTACAAATTCCCCTTGCTGTAAGCCTTCCAACCTTGTAAGTATTCTTTTATATGTGGTTCAGAGTTCTGGCACAATCCCCTGAGCCTACTTGGTCCGGTATTCTGTGTTGTTGCTGATGGAACTCTTTACTACACATCCACTCGATCCGCCATATTGTTTGTTCTTTCCAAATATTTTTCTTTTAAAATGAACTCTTAGAGATAACATGACATTAAACAAAAACAACAACAGAAGCAGCTACTAAGACTGTTCATGTATAACCAAATACTTCATGTGATTTGGTTTCTTGGTTGGGAGGTTAAGGGTTATAGTTTCAGGGGACATTCCTAATATCATGTTTAGTGTTGCTTTTCTACCTCCTAGTTTGTTGCATGGGTACAAGGTGGTTCTATAAGATAAGCACTGGATGGAGAACCATGAGGTCTGCAGTTCAAGCCAGCAGATCCACCATGAGAGAAAGATGAGGTTTTCTGCTCCCACAAATACATAAAGCTGCAGGAACTGTATACAAGGTTGCTATAAATTGAAACTGACTCAATAGCACTTAACAGTTTGTTGCATATTGTCTATGGTCTTAAAAGCAAGTAGTCATCCAAGGTACAACCATTAGTCTCTATTCATCTGGAGAAGCAAAGGAAGGAGAGTCAGGAAAAGGAGGAAGGAATGAAGTGACCAATTGCCTCTAAAAACCCCTGAAACTATTTCCCTGAGACAGTCTTTAAACCTTAAATCAAAATTGTTCCTTTTTAAACCAAACAATAATCCAAAGGCAAACCCCTTACCATTGAGTCAATTCTTATTCATAGTGACCCTATAGGACACAGTAGTATTGCCTCATAGCATTTCTAAGACTGAAATATTTATGAAAGTCGATTTGTCACATGTTTTCCTGGAAATATGTGGAGTGACTCATGGACCCAATTAACACTGGCCACCAGGGTCCTTAAACCAAAGAATATTGTTATGTGCCATAGAGTTGCTTCATAGCAACCTTATGCACAACAGAACAAAACACTACCCAGCTCTGTGCCAATCTCATAATCATCATTATGCTAGAGCCCATTGCTGCTACCAATCCATCTTGTTCCTCTTTTTCACTGACCCTCCACTTTACCAAGCATGATGGCCTTCTCCAGTGACTGATAACATGTCTCAAGTATGAGAGACAAAGTCTTGCCAGCCTGACTTCTATGGTGCATTCTGGCTGCAGTTCTTCAAAGACATATTTGTTTGTACTCTGGTAGTTCATGATATTTTTAATATTCTTCCCCAGCACCATAATTCAAATGCCTACATTTTTTTCTGTAGTCTTTCTTATTCATTAGCCAACAATTGTTGTTATTAATGTTAAGTGCCCTCGAGTAGGTCCCAACTTATAGTGACCTTGTATAGGAGCAGCTAGTGAATTTGAACCACCAGTGTTGTAGTTCAAACCGACATTGAAGTCCAGTGCTTTAGCTCATACTAGACCAACAATGTTGGTATTGTTGTTGTCAGGTGCCGTCAAGTCAGAACTGACTCATAGTGACCCCATGCACAGCACAACGAAACAATGTCCGATCCTGGGCCAACGTCACTACCGCTGCCACAATTGAGTCCATCAACGCTGCCACCTGGCCAATCCATCTCATTGGGGGTCTTCCTCTTTTTCTCTGACCCTGCATCTTACCAAGCATGATATCCTTCTCCAGCAACTGTTCCCTCCGGACAATATGTCCAAAGTATGAGAGACGAAGTTTAGCCATCCTGGCCTCAAAGGAGCACTCTGGCTGCACTTCTTCCAAAACAGATCTATTGATTCTTTTGGCAGCCCATGGTACTTTTAGTATTCTCCTCGAACACCACAATTCAAAGGCATCAGTTCTTCTATGATCTTCCTTATTCACTGTTCAGCTTTTGCATCCACATGAGGTTATTGAAAATACCATGGCTTGGGTCAGGCACACCTTAGTCCTCAAGCTGACATCTTTGCTCTTCAACACTTTAAAAAGTTCCTGTGC